AGCTGTTTGATTTGTTCATAATCTAATGAGCGCACCGCGTGTACGACTCCACTTTCAGCATTTACAGACACATATTCAGAAATTGGAGATCCGCCTATGTCATTAACATCCAGAATGTAGGATATTCGAGCATTCTGGTTTTCATCGGGATCCTGCGCTGTTAGAGTAAGAAGAGAAACTCCTGGCGAGTTATTCTCAACAACAAACGCACTGTAAACATCTTTAGGAAACGCTGGAGGGTTGTCGTTCACATCAGAGACCTTTAAATAAAATGTTCTTTTGGTTGAGAGGGGAGGCCTTCCTGAATCAGTCGCAACAACAGTGATGTTATATTCTGAGACACGTTCACGATTTAATACAGAATCAGTTACTAATGTATAGTAATTTCTTAAATTGGATTTGATCTTAAAATGTGAGCTTTCTTCTATTGCACAAGCTACGTGTCCGTTATCACCTGAATCGAGATCTTTTACGTTTATGATGCCAATAGTAGTACCAGGAGGAGAATCCTCTGACACAGGACTAGTGAAGGACATCATATTAAGGACAGGTGCATTATCATTTACGTCTATCACTTCTACTATGACTTTGCTCGAATCTGTTAAAGCTCCTTGGTCTGTCGCCTCAATGCGTATTTCATATTTCTTAGATTTTTCATAGTCAACCTGCCCTAAAAGGACTATCACTCCTGTTGTTTTGTTAATTTCGAATATACTTTCAATGCCGCCTTGCATTTTGGAAACAGAATAATAAACCAAACCATTTGATCCGCTGTCTGCATCAGTTGCGTTCACAGTGATGATGTAGGTTCCTCTGGCAGCATTTTCCATCACTGTAGACTTATAGACTGATTGATTGAAAACAGGGGAATTATCATTAGCATCTAGGACGGTGATATCTATATTTACTGTACCAGATTTCTGAGGCGTTCCCCCGTCCACCGCTATCAGCTTCAGAGATAAACTTGGATATTGTTCTCGATCCAACGGTTTCTCAAGTACCATCTCTGCATATTTTCTTCCGTCTGCATTTGAATGCTTTTTCAGTATAAAATTTTCATTCGGAGATAAATTATAGTCTTGGAGCCCGTTGACTCCCACATCGGGATCATTGGCTGTTGGTAAAACAAACCGTGCTCCCGGAGCAGCTGATTCTCCAATCGTCAATTTCATGTCGTGCTGATGAAAAGAAGGCGAATTATCATTTATGTCCAATACCTCGACCGTGATGTGGTGTAGTTCCATAGGGTTTTCTAAAATCAGATCAAAACTGAAGCTACACGGCGTTACTTCTCCGCAAAGCTGCTCTCGATCTATTCTCTGATTCACAACGAGAGTCCCTTTGTCTGCCTTCAGCTCGGTGTACTGGATGTTTTCTCCGCTCACTATACGGGCCCGACCAGAACGGAGCCTCTGCAGATCTATCCCGAGGTCCACTGCGACATTACCAATGAGAGATCCCTTCTTCATCTCCTCTGGGATGGAATAACGTATCTGACCAGCAGCAATATGAGTGAGAAAAAGAAGAAGCAGAATATTTTGCGTCGTCTGTGTGCAGCACAAACGCCATCTTAGAGTCCGGGAGGGATGTTTTCCGAAATCCATGGCACCAAGCGAATGAAATTAAAAGATTCTGGTCAAAAACGACACTTCGAACATCCAAGGACGAGCAATAAGGAATTCAAGAGCAGTTTAGTATAAGACGTGTAATTTCAGCGTCGCTTCCCTCGTAGTGAAAGATATTGAATCAAAGCCTGAATGTCTGCGGCGACCTCCGCGTCGTTTACTGTCTAAAGCATATTCACTCTCTACAGAGCAGAATGAAGAATGGCACCGCCTAAACACTGCTCAGACTTTTTTTTTAACTTGACCAACAGCGTCCCTTACAGTCCACTCAATGAATATCAACGCAGTGAAGGAAATTATTTGCAAATCTAATGTCCATGATAACAGAATATCGAACTGAATAATATAGTCACAGTCCACAAAATTTCCAACTCAGTCACAAGGTACACAATGATGAAATCACAACTACAGCAGGAAACCACATAGAGCAGAATGACATGCAATAAAGCGTTTCTTAAGAACGTAAACAAAGATAAACTTGAGGTATTGATTGAAGTGACTTCCGACTAACTAAAGCACGACAATAAAGTAGATCAAAATCACCATGAGAAAAACTACTCAAACTTTAGCATGCAGATTTGTCAGTAACTTACAGTTTTATCAAAATGTCTTTTGTGAAACAGAAACAATTCAATTCAAACACTGCAGTGTATAGTACATTCTAAAATTGATGGTATTTATTATGCATGATGAGATTTTGAATTTCACATAACATGAAAGATGTTAACACGTTGTCGACAAAAATAAAAAGAGCCAGCACCACGTTTATCAACATACTTGTGGTAAAGGCATGGAAATCAAATTCTCAACACAGGAAGTTGCACAACCCAAACAACATGTATATTCCTGTAAATTCCTTGAGGGGATTTTTGTATGAACGACAGTAAAAACATACGCAGTGTATCGAGATGAAGTCAGCACCAATATATAATAGACATAGAAAAAACTATTTCAGTCATATCACTTGTATGAAATGTGACTGGCAACAAGTGACATCTTGGAAGAGTTTTGCAGGTGGAGATTTTCTCATAACGAATTACAAGGTAACAGGGGCGCTGACCGTGGTGCTGAAAGTGATAGTTTAGCCTTAGTTTGAAGCTGGGTATTATTACTGACAGATGACTGAATGAATGAATGAATGAATGAATGAATGAATGAATGAATGAATGAATGAATGAATGAATGAATGGAGACTTCTTGAAAAGAGACACAGAAAAGTAGAGGGAGAAGCAAATTCTCCTAAACTGACCTCTAGAGGAGAGTCTGGTTCATCCAGGATGCTCTTCTCACTCTGCATCCGCTGCATCGTTCCTGTACAACTCGGATCCATTAT